TCTGTGTTGTTCTTGAAAGTTCTTCTCTTTGTAAGATTGTTTAGGTTAGGTTTTCCTTTCCTATCTTCCGCAACAATCTTTTGTTTTTCTGTGTGTATTAWTTYTTGATATAAATCAATAAGAATTAAAAAGTTGAAAAAATCTGTGTAATTGTATTCAACCCCCCCTTCTACAATTACTTTCTGCTTATTGTCTTGCCCTTCGGGACTAACAGATAATAATGTGCATTGGTAACTTGTACTATATGTTTTTCTAATTGTAAATTAAGAGATTTTAAGATTGAATACATAAAGTATCAATACTTAATGCATTATGAGTTGTTTTTAAGACTTTTAAGACTATGTGCATAAGTGTATAGTACTGTGTGCATTAAAAAATATTTTTAAGATTTTGGTAAATCTGGTTTATAAGGTAGTATAGATAAATTTAACAAAAATGCCCCCTTCAAAATACTTTTATACCTTATTGCTTAATTTATAAACAATATATGATGATAAAATCAGTAATAACAATAAATTGGTGGTGGTGATGATGGTGGCAGAGACGGTAATGGTGGTAGTGATAATATGACAATCGTCTTGGGGGATGAAATACATTACAACAAATACAGGGGTATGATGGTCTTTTAATAGATTAAATGAAATGGAACTGAAATTCATCATTACAACTCAAAGAATTTAAATTTCACTGTATATGGAAGTGAAATTATGTATAAAAACTCACAGAATGAACCAAACATATTGACTATTCCAATTCTTATATACTCTATCGGATTTTAATGAACTAAACACCATCTTAATGTTTGCGTTTGTTATGTTCTTCTTTGGGTTTGGAGGTGGTTTGTCAGTGCTTTTGTCGAACCTTGTATTTCACTTGGGGTCTTCCGCTTATGGTTTGGTGTTGTAGTGGTTGCACCCTTCATTAATGTTTTTAGAAAGGCCGACGCATTAGCTAAAAACGAACAAATATAAAACAAGAGTATCCAAAGGGAGCCTGCGGACAATAGGACCACCGAGGACCACAAAACCCAGAAGAACAACCGAAAGACAACAAAAAACAACCAACAACACAACAAAATAAAACTAAAAACTTTAAGCCAAAAGATCAAGTTGCAACCGCATTAAGGGGTTGTTTGTTTACCTCTTAATAATTCCATTAAGAGGCAACCTCTGAACCATTAAGAAGTGAATCTTGTTTGACAAAAAAAAGTCTGCATCTTAATGGTTTTAAAACCCTCTGAATGATTTTGTATCATGCGCCTCCCTTAACCATTAACCGCCATAATTTCATTATAAACAATTACCAAACGATTATATTTCCTTTTGTACTATATCATGAAAGCCTCTTAATCATTATGACCACTTAATCATTTTGCACCAAGCCATTCAGCAACTACCAAACAGCCACCTTTCCAAGAAACCTGATTCTATGAGAAATTTTTGAACGTTTGACGAGATCAAATTGAACGAGCAACTTTGGATCTCTCCAACTAAATCTTCACTTAAACCAACTACTTTGAAGGCACGAAGTATTCCTGTTTATCCACGAGATGTAAGTCGCATCCAGAGGAACAGTTTCTACAAACTTCAAAAGTAAATTATACAGATTCTCGTAGATGATTCATGCATAAAGATGGAGCTTTTGAAGCTTCTTCTCTTTTCAGACGAATAGTGGACAACAACATCTTGTCGGCATCAAGATCGGAAACCCCAACGACATGGGACAAGACTGCGCCCCAAAGCATTAACATCTTCGTCTGGAGGACCCTTGAAACAAGATCCCTTCGGTACTAGTTGTCTATCTGCTTCGAGTTCGAGTTCTGTTTTTGCTTAAGCTGCATGTTCCTCCTCTATCAGTCTCGGCTTATTCGATTCAGAAACTACTTCTCTACTCTATTTTCGGTCTTATTCAATTCAGCCAAAAAAAAATCCAAACATGCAACATATTTTGTTTGTATAAATATTAAATTCTTGAAAAACCATTACTTCCAAAATTACAAGCAAATAATTATTGCAATCGAATGGATAGACCATGGAAACCCCGACAAGTAAAGCAGAAAATTAGGTTTAGAACATGGAGCCCTGCAGCATTGATGCAATTATAGTGGAAAATAATTACCAACCAAACCACCATCGCCACCACAACCGTATCTTAAGACTACGACCGGCGATGGTGGTGGTGGTGATGAACAACTGATAATGCTATGAAATCAAGAAATCACAGTCTTGCCTTTTTTTCAAGATTCAATTCAAGATTTTGGAACTTTCAGGACCCAGAAACAAATTAAGCAGGTTTTCAAGATCGCAAAAAGGGAATCGAAAATGTCGAACAGTTTCAGAACAACCCATCAATGGTTGATCGACAGATCAAACAATCTTATGTAACGGAGAGATTCAAGAACAGAAATGTGGAACTGTGTGTATCTTTATTTATAATTGTATACAGAAATTCTGAAAAACAAGAAGCAGCAGCAGCTAAAGAAAAATTAGCTAAAAAGAGATCGTGAGATTAGAACAAAACTCAAGATCCAGATCGTGAAATTACATATAAAATCTTATGATTCCTCAGGAAAATTACGATGATCGACACTACATCTTCAACACGACAGAAATTCGTAATCTAAGTTCGTAAGATGTTGAAGCATAAATCGCATAGTGACCTCAAATTACACTAATCTACAGATATCATCATCAATCTAAAGAAATCAAGACTATTTTGGGGGAAATTTACCAGAGATTTCATCTTCGAATCCCCATGGATGATGATTTTTTCTTGGGATAAAAACAAGAAAATTGCAGAAAGGATGGAGAAAGTAGCGTGAAAATTGTTCATCATCGTCGGAGAAAATTTATAGGCAAAGAGCGGTGACGAATAAGTCATCGGAATCGTCAATTGGGTTAGAGGAAAATCCGACATCGGCCAACGGTGGAGGAAGGTTGAGATCGAATGGTAAGGGTTTACGGGAAGATGACGAGAGATCGGCGTCGCAATAATAATCATCGACAACCGAAGATGATGAATCGCAGTTGCTATGGCAATCGTCGTCCATCGGAGGGAACTGCGACGGCTTTAATGGTTGTTGTGTTCTTTCACGCGGTGGATTTGACGGACGGGGTCCACTCGTCGACTCGACGGTACTGCTCAGATTGCTAGTCGTCGGCCGAGATTGGTTAGTATTAAAATGTTGAAATTCATAGAAACTCCGTTGGTGATGGTGGTGGTGGTGGTGTGTGTGATCGATGGTTCCATGATCGGCGGTTTCGTGTAACCTTAACGCCAACGACGGAAAATTGGTTTTAGCCTTGGGGCCGCGGAGGGACACCGCGGCGGCGTCGTAGGCACGGGCGGCGTCCTCGGCGGAGTCAAAGGTGCCTAACCAAACACGGGCTTTCTTCCATGGATCACGGATCTCGGCGGCGAACCGACCCCATGGTCTCTTTCGAACACCACGATACCGAGGCTCGTTGTCGTCATGTTGTTGACCCATCACCGTCTCTCTCGTTCCGATCGCTCCTCCGGCGGCGGCCTTCGTTCTGCTGCCTCGTGCCATGAACCGATACTTTTCCGGTGGCCGGAAATTATCACAGATGAAGATTGATGATTCAAATTTCAAAACACGATCTTGGAATTCCTTTTTGGGGGGTTTTATCAACAATTTCTCTTAATTTTGCAGGGAATCCATCGAGTTTTTCAAGATTGATTGGTTTTTTTCCGATCTCTCACTTTCTCTCTCTTCAATTCACCTTATCTTTTGTTTTTCTCTCTCTAAGATTTTCTTTCTTCTTCTTCTCTATCTCCGCAACGGAGAAAAGAAACCGGCATTATTCGCTCGCCATCTTCTGTTTTTTATCTGTCTGTCCAGAATTACTGAAAAGACCAAATTGCCCAATGCGTCTTCCTTTACTTTCCTTCTTTTTGTTCCTTTGATTCTTGTGGCTAGGGTTAAGATTGTAATTTGTGGTTCTTATCAATTTGCAGGGATTTTCATTTTCCATACTTTTGCGACTTGCTTAAAAAGAACCCTCAGGTTTACATTATTTACAATTTACACCCTGATAGATCTTGGGATTTTAGAAATTATGAAATTGTTGGAGAAGTGACGGAATAAAATCTTGGGTCGGGTTTTTGTTCATTGAATTCCAAACAAAATTTGAAGGAATTGGAATTATCAATTTTGTCGACCGAATTTTATTCATGCCTTTGGTTTATTTTTTTTATTTTTTTCTCAAATTCCATATATCATTCATTATCACTCGACTCCCAACTTCCCTCTCTTCATGCAGCAAACCGAGGGAGAGATACCGTTATTTTCACTTATGAGTTTTTTTGTCAATTGTTTATCGGTAAGAGTCCACTACTCTCGCTTACCTTATTGGGTATCATTCATTACCGTTAAAATGGGTAGATAGTAAGCATTTATCACCCGACGAGCACTCACCAGATAAGAGTTAGCATCCTCTACCCAGTAAGATCATCGATCATTGTTTTTCTCTCTTACTGGGTAAGATTCTTGGTAGTTTTACTAGTATTTATAAGTTAAATGACAGTTACAAAAACATCATAAAAATAGTATTTTAGTAATTTATCCTTATTTTATTTCACTTCAAAAATTAAATTATTTTAATCAAACTGAGATATTCAAGTTATTTGACAGGTTTCATTCCAACTTCTATTAACCAACTGTATCGTTAATTAATTATAATTAAATTCCTTTAAATCCCAACTCTTTTAATAGATCCAATTTATCCATAAAAGAATTTGCAAACCAAACGTTACCTTAGATTCTGTCTAATCGATTATCGAACCAGTGCTTAATTATCGTTTCAGATAAGATGTAAATCTCTTAAAAAAATTGTTAGTCCATGTTACTAATATTTATATTTATTTTTCGCAGTTGGTGTGTAGTTCAGTTGGCAAAAGAGGTAGAACGACTTTGCATAAATACAATACTGGTCTCAGGTTCAATCTCATACCCCCCCCCCCCTTCCCCCCACCGCACGGACAAACTAGCCACAACCGTTAAGTGAGCCACAAAATGGCCTCTCACATCAGTGTCCTTTGAGACGGGTTTTACGTAAGATCAGTTAGGTTGTCGATAGTAAACTCTTATTCAAATATTTAAGTTTATTTCCAATCATGGATTTCATAAACCAAACAAGAAATCACAAAAGAATCAAACATCAATTTCATGTCAATTATTACATTGCAAATCAAAGACATTCTTAAAAGAACCAAATGGCAACTACCTTATTTGCAAGGGGCTTATAATGGCAATGATTAAAAAGATGAGGGTCTGTTGTGTAGATTCTGTTATAAAAGGGGAGTGGGTTGTGGCGTCAATTTATGGATTGAAATCTGGACCGCAAGATTTTAGGGGAGGGTTCTGGTCATTTCAACAACAGAAGTCCGGTCTCGTGACTCGTCTCGCTCATACAATCTCGTGGTTCTTGTGAAATTTTTATTTCTTTATTTTATTTTTTTTATAAATCCAATTTTAATACAGGGTAAATTACGAATTTGGTCCCTATAGTTTTAATATTGTCTACGATTTAGTGTCCAGAGTTTATTTTATTCCAAAATAGTCATTAAAGTTTGGATTTTCGTAATGTTTTGGTTTTTGCTACTAACGATTGTTAACTCTCATTTTTTTAAGTGAATGACATCTAGGGTAATTTACCATTTTCTTTTATTTTACATGGGATAATAATTAGTATGTGTTATATAATATATAAAATGCAAAAGGAAAAGGAAAAGAATCACCCACCCCTCTTTTTCTTCCTCGCATTCGTCCTTCTCACCCGGTGATCCTCTTCCAACTATAATCCGTCACTTCTGTATCCAAGACTCCAGTGACCGTTTAGACTTCACCGTCTTCCACGCTACCTCGCTTTCACCATTGTCAAACACCACCTCCCCTAACCCACATCTATAACTTCCCATTCCCTCCCCTGCACTCATCGCTCTCACTAAGGGTGCTTATGGGTTGGGTTGATTAGGTTGAAGACATTTGAACAACTCAATCTAATGTTTGCGGTTTGGAAAATCTTAACTCAACCCAACCCAAAACAAAGTGCAACCCAACCCGTACTGGTTGGTCGGGTTAATATTTTTGTACATTAAAATATTCTTTTAACCTTGAATATGTTATTTCTCTACTCATATTTTCTTTTTCCATCATCAACCATTTGATACAACTTATCCATATTTGTTACGTTTATCACATTCAGTTAATTTTCTCAATTTACATATATATGTTCACAATTATTGAACATATATATGAATAAGTACTAGTTGTGTACCCGCGCAATGCGACGGGAGCCATGAATATTAACGATTTTGAAGTTCCACTGGTTTTATAAGATAAGATTTAACAATGATATAGGTTACACTTGGTCTTTACATATTAATACAATTTGAATAAATAAGAGTTATGGTTCCAATTACAGACTATCGATGAAAAAAGTTGTATGACAGTTTAAAATTCAATATATATAAAATCCAACATATTTAAACGACTCCACAAATGTATTCGATTTACACCAAGAGCAAATAACCAAGAAACTTGAGTTTTAAGATAAACACTCAAAACCAATAAAGAAAACTACAAATTTGACAGATCATAAGCCATGAAAAGACAAAAAAAGATGAGTTTTATAATGAAATTTCAACTGCTTACCCTCTTTCTTGTCCAGAAACTCAGATTGAGGTTGAATTAATACATGTATATATATATTTCAAAAAAACCGAAGAACATATTAATTCAAAACATATTATACAGTGCAATTTGGACAGCCTAGCCCTAAAATATATAGTATATATATAAATAACTAACTATAAAAGTATAAATCGTAAATATTAAAAATATTTTTTCACAGTATATATAATATATAATAATATAATTAAGTAAAAAACTATTCAATATTGGACTCATTTCGAAGGTATTAACGATACGATTATAATTGTGTAACTTGTTAAAATAAAATATATTTTTAAACATGTTTTAATTGATATACGATTATGTATGTTAATTTCATAATGGTTTAAAATGAAACATTTAAAAGTAAATGACGTAAAGTAAATTAATTAATTAATAATAGAGGTATAAAGTGTAAATTTAAAATTATAATTATAATTTTAAAAATATCGGTTGTAAGGGGGTGATTGTATGTGAGGAGAGAATGAGGTGAAAAAGTGAGTACAAAAAGTATTTTGGTTATTTAGTATTTTAAGACTTTTGCTAAATTTGCTTAATAAGATAGTATAGATATAGAGATGTGAATAGATTGAAAATATGTGTATATGAAAAACAACATGATAATGTAATTGTCTAATACATGAAACTGTGCAATTTGTACAAACCGTGCAAACCGCATTCAGCCAATCATAATTTTTCATTTTGTTCATTTTTTTGTAATTATGAGAGGTTGATTAATCATTTTTATTGT